GTGCAGCGCCCAAGCGCTAGGCGCTGCACTTTAAATGTGTGGCGCCTAAGCTGTAGGCACTGCACATTGTGTGGCGCCTAGCACCGAGGTGTTGCACTGCTGGGTGCGGGGCCCAGGTCTGCCACGGTGGACTGACGTGCAACGTCCACGAGCTAGGCGCTGCACCGTAGGGTGTGGCGCCGGCGTGGCGGACGCTACACAAAAGGGTCAGGGGAGTGAAATAGTTTCACAACCAGTTCATTATGTGAATTGATTTCGTTCACAGGTCAAAATTGTCAAATTTGCCGTAACAGCATGTTGGTTTGACTCAGTACCTAGCATCAATTTTAACTAGCCTCCCTGCAGATTCTGTAGGGGCTTCGATCATTGAATAAAGCTCAAAATATTTCCCGTCAAAAAAAAAAGAGAAGTAGTATAGTACTATAACAGTATAACAGGATACCAATATCAAACTGAGACAGACACCAACAAGATAAACTCGCACTACCATCCATATAGGTAGTTTATTGTGCTGCGTACTCGACAAAGTACGTACCCTTCGAGATTAGCAACGACACTGACACTTGACTTGACTCCATCGATATGGGATACGGCGCCGTGAGCAACTGCCGTACTTCTGGCCGCCGGCGGCTTCCGAGACTGCTCACGGGTGAATACATGGTCTCAGGCGTCGGACCATGTGACGGGCACCTCGCCGATGTCGCTGTCGAGCCCGAGCGCCTTCCACACGGCTTCGGAGGTGTCCACGATGTTGGTCTTGCAGCCGTGGTTGGAGTCGCACTCATCCACCACCTTGGCCTGCACGGTGCGCCCGTTCTTCTTGCTGGTGATGTTGATCATCTTGCCGCACCGGCGTCCGCCCGCGTACCACCTCGTCGACAGCGCCACGATCATGTCCTTGTCGCTGTGGAACTTGCCGTCGCACTCCGACGGTGCGCCGCCGTCCTCGCCTTTCTGGAACCCGTTCACCGTCATCACGCCAGGCGTGCCGCCGCCGCCGCCGCGACCACCGCCGCCGCCCGGCGACGGGCAGTGGGGTTTCTTGTGCTTGTGGACCATGCCCGGCACGGAGTCGTCCTCGCCGACGCAGGGGTCTGGCTTGGCGTGGTGCCGGGCCACGGATAACGTGGACAGCTGCAGTAAGATCACAAGCATGGCCACGACCGTGAGCCTCGTGTTCGCCATGGCTAAGCTTCTGCCGGCTTACCTGCTGCCCTTTAACTTGACTTGCTGTGGGTGCTGATGAGTTGTGGCTGGTTCGAGGAGTTTATATAGGCGCACGTACGTATATACCGATACTCTCTCGGTGTGCTCGATACAGGCCTAAAATGGCTGCGTTAGATGACAACTGAATTGTAGAGATGAGTTCGTTTGGATTACATGGTGTCGCTAATATTACAGCGGTAATAACCGAGGGCAGAACACAGCAGGTCGCTCTTGGCAGAGAGAACGTACCAGTTTCTACCACTCCAAGCAAAGAAAATTCCAAAATCAAAGCTTTTTAATCGTGATATACTACGATATGACTAGATGAGCAAGAGCCAAGTGTACCGTAGTTGGTGGTGTGTCCAATGTACGTCAATACTATTATGTGTAAATGTTGTTTAATCATGTACGTGAGCCGTCCGGAGAGTTTTTATATTAAGTAAAATGCAGGAGCTCTACGGAGGATGATTTAGGGCACGAAAATGCGGAGGCACGCACTTTACGGCTGTTAATCTACGCGGAGATTCAGGACATTGGTTATGTATATGCACAATTTTAGTCTCATTTATGTATGTAATTCATTCGTATATCAAGCCGATGTACATGTACATGTCGGTGTCTGGTCTGGTACCTGTTTGGTGTAGATCTTAAAAACAAAAGAGGGAAAGATAGGAACAACCATAGAAGAAAAAAGTATATTTTTCGTCCTTCAACTCTGAGCAGAGTTTATATTTGGTCCCTGAACTACTTGCATCCTTAACTTTTAAAATCGGACAAGTTTCGTCTCTCTTTTGGTTTTGGCCGGTTTTTGTGCTGACTTACCCGTGTGTTGACCGATACATGCTGGCATGGCAAAGAAAACACCCAAATTGACCTCCTGATTCCGCTCTCTCTCTCTCTCTGGTGCTCCCCATCTCTCTACGCGGATGGGCAAGCTGCGGGCAGGAGCACAACGACGAGCAAGCTGCTGGAGGTGGTGGTCTGGACAGTATGAGCGCGGCGCCAGGAGAGGGGATCGTCGCCGGGATGGAGCACATCGCGGTCGTGGCCAGTCTGGGCCACCTCGCTGCTGTGGTGGTGCCTGCCGTCGTCGCTCGTCGAGTTCGTCTCGGCCGACCTCCCCGCACCGCTCGCCCACAACCTCACGCTCGACACGTACCTCGCCGTCGAGCCACGAGGAGAGGCCGTGGTGGATGCTTGTGGTGCCGTGGAGTGGTGCAGGTCATGGTCGTGTGGTCTTCAGGAGTCCAGAGGAGTGGCCAACATGGACAGTGAAGGAGGAGCACAGTTGTACAGAGCTTGCCGGGGATGAGCCGTAGGTAGAGACCATGACAGTCGGTGATGGCTGCAGGCATGCCAAGAAGGAGATGTGGCGGACGACAGTAGGTCGCACAGCACGGTCGGTCGGGCGCCTCAAGTGGAGCTCGTGCAGAAGGAGTAGAGGGTTGGACGGGAAGGCATGGAGGTGCGAGCGGCTCAGTCGAGGGCTGGCCGGAGAGGTGTAGGAGGAGGCGCGAAGGCGTCAAGGCGTGCCGGCAAGCAGGTGGTTGTCCGCGCGGACTCACATGATGGCTTGGAGCAGCGTGTTTAGTGGCCAACGGCGCAATCGGCGGTGCGTGGTAGTAGTTAGCACGGCGGCACTGGCTCCTGGACTGACGGCCGCGCTCGATTGTGGCGCGGTGCAGCATTGCATGCCAACTGTTCGATGAAAACGTCCGCACAGGAGATGTGGATGAAGAGAAATAGAACTATCCCCACGTGTACATGACCAGGTCAAAACCATGTTGAGTTAGCATTAATACTGTTTCAGTTGAGTCAGGGGAGAAAACTTGTCCGGTTTCAAGAATTGGAGGTGCAAATTATTCGGTTTTGTAGTTGAGGACCGAAATCTTGACTCCGCCAAAAGTTAAGGGAGAAAAAGTATACTTTTCACAATATAGAACGGAAAAACAAATCGTTCATTAAGCCATTCTTCTATTGTTCTTCTTAGTTCTTGTTTCTTCTCACCTTCCTGTTCCACGAAATATTCATGTTTAAGCCTATTTTGAATTGGTCCTTGCATATTGAAGGTCTTCAAGATAAAAACACGCGCGGCAGTATATTTTCTTTGAGAAGTTTATTTTCTTATCTAATTGGCAGATACCATTTTCTTTCTTTACGGATTGAAGGGCTTCAAACATATGGATGCCCACATAAATATGCTGCTTCAAAAAGGTACAAAATGCTTTGAAAAGGTTTGCTTTGTTACCGATCTTGCGCAAGTCGGAAATATCACTGTTGGTGTTGTTCTTTCATCCTTTTTTATTTTTCATCCTGGAACAACTTTTGTGTTTGAGATTTGGAGTAGAATGAATTGGATCTTAGAATCCAGCTACAATAACTGGCAGTACATGTAGCAAGTTAGAGTCACTGAAACTTTATGCTCGGACGATTTATGAAGAAGTTACAACTTATGAAACTTAAGATGAACGTAATACTTGTTTTTTTGTATTTATTTGTATAGTTGAATACTTAATCGTGTTGAAATAATTCTAATAAACCAATGTTTCGACTAGATTGAATTGTAATTTAATAGTAATTTAATCTTATTAATCATGTTTATGTCTTTAAAATGCCATTGTTCTTCTAAACAACAACATTATTTCAAATATCGTTCAGATATTAGCATTGTGAACAATGCAAGTTTATGATCTAGAATACTACTACTTGGACAAAATCAGTTGTTGTACATTTATTCATGTAGAAAATACAATTTAGGTTACTAGGTAACGAATTAAATATTCAATTAAGAAATGAATTCAGAAACTTAAACAGTAAATAACAATAGCATGACAGTGAAAGTTGAGAGCTAAATTGACTTGAAGCTCAAAAGTTTTCAAACAATGATGATTTTGTTTAGAAGAATGTAGAGCAATAATTATCTATAACTGAAAGGATCGATATGGTTGACTAGAGGGGGGAGGGGGTGAATAGGCAACTATCAATTTTTAGCTTTTCCTAATAAATTAGGTTAGCAACAAATAGGTTGTCTAGACATGCAACAAGATGAACAACCTATATGATGCTAGCAAAGACAACACCACAAGTAAGCAACATGACAAACACAAGTATAGCAAGCACAAAATAAAGGTAAGAGATAACCACAAGTGAAATCGGGGGAGACGAGGATGTGTTACTGAAGTTCTTTCCCTTTGAGAGTAAGTACGTCTCCGTTGGAGTGTTGTGGAGGCACAATGCTTCCCAAGAAGCCACTAGGGTCACCGTATTCTCCACCCTCACACAATGCGAAATGCCGTGATTCCACTAGTGGTGCCCTTGAAGGCGGCAACCGGACCTTTACAAACAAGGTTGGGGCTCTCTCCACAACCGAATTCAAGGCTCCCAACAACACCACGAAGCTTCACCACAATGGAATGTGGCTCCAAGGTGACCTCAACCGTCTAGGGTACTCAAACACCCAAGAATAACAAGATCCGCAAGAGATTAGTGGGGTGAATCAAATTTGTCTTGGTGGAAGTGTAGATCTAGGCCTTCTCAAGCAATCCCTAAAGAATCAACAAGTTTGATTGGCTAGGGAGAAAGATCGGGCAAGAATGAGCTTATGAGCAACAATAAAGTTTGGGGGAGGAAGAGGTAAGTCAACTTGGGGGAAGATGACTCACTTATATAGTGGGGGATAAAATCCAACTGTTATGCCCTCACAACCCATCCACAAGCGGTAATACCGCTCAGGGCAGCGGTACTTCCGCTAGCACGGAAGTTCTAGAAGTTGTGTACAACCGAGCAAGTTAGGGAGGCGGTAGTTCCGCCGGAGCGGTACTATTGCTCCCACGTACTTCCGCTCGGTGTTGAACAACGGCCAGAGATCGCGGTAGTAGAGGGGAGAGGGGGGGGGGGGCAGGGCGGTACTACCGCTAGGAACTGCCGCTCTACTTCCGCCTGTGGAACAGACCAGTCGAGTACACATAAATTAAGTGGTACTCCCCGCGGCACAAGCCAACGGTAGTTCCGCTAGAGCGGTGCTACCGCGGCAAGTATTAGTACTTCTGCTTAGCCTGAGAGTGGCTAGTAATCCCGCGGTAGTAGAGAGGCAGTTAGGCCCGTAGTACCGCAGGAGCGGTACCACCGCGCAGAACTGCCGCTCTACTACCGCCCGTTTACAGAACCCTCAAAATAGGCGGAAGTAGGAGCCGTACTGTACAACAACAGTACTGCTAGAGCGGTACTACCGCGGGGCAGAGCGATACTATCGCTTAGGCTGTTCTAACAAGGTTCAAGCACAAAGAAGGGACAAGCTCACGGGACGGGAAAGAAAGAGAGTGCAAGGTGAACGTGTACGTGTTGATTCCACCCAAACCTTTCCGAAGCGGACCCCCCTCTTAATAGTACAGTGATCCTACGACTCAAGTCTACCGAAAATGAAACGCAAGAGAAACACTGTCTTCATGAATATCCAGAGGGCTTCAAATCGTCTTTGTGCCATATGATAGATTATCTGAAATGCTCAATGCACACGATTAGTCCTCAAAAGCATTGTCATTAATTATCAAAACCACTAAGGAAGAAATATGCCCTAACAATAACAATGCCACAGTTTAATGTACAAGAATAAATAAGACCCTAAAACTGAATGTAAATTCTAAAACAGAATAGTAAACATGGAACAACGCTTCCATCTACAATGTAATTCGAACATTCTAACCACTAAGGACTAAAGAATATTGCTGATATTCAATATCGAACATATGTAAACCCTGAACCTTAATCTAACCCCAAACCCTAACCACCAAAAGCCATATTAGATTAATTGAGAATATAGCGAAGAAGTAGAAAGTTCTAAGGTATAAACCTTAAACCCTAACCCTAAGCCATAAGCACTAAATCCTAATCCCTAAACACTAAATCTAAACCCTAAGCCGTAAACATTAAACCCTAAGACCTAAGCCCTAAAGCCTGAACCCAAAACGCTTGTACTATAA